CAAGAGACTTTTGATATTATAGTATTTTTATAGAAGTTTTTTTTTTAAGAGTATAGAAGTTATTCAATTCTAGTTTATCATTTTTTTATTAAAAGAAAAAGAAAAATTACAAATTATAGCACTAGTTTTTCCTATATATATATATATATATATATATATATATATATATATATATATATATATATATATATATATCACAATTTAGTGTTAATATATGCAGTGGCGTAGCTAGAACTATCCCAGGGTGTCCAACTTGATACCCTTCGTCGGAAATTACGTTGTAAAAATATGTCAAATTCTACATTTAACTTACCTTGACAAAAGCTATGCCTTTGACGTAGTGGTAATAGGTGTCCATTTGAGTTAAGGAGCTTTGGGTTCGGACCCCTAAATAGCACAATATTTTTTTTTAATAGCTACAAATCATTATTTTTGGACACACTTAACTAAATTTCTAGCTTGACCACTAATTATATATGAACAATATCACTTATGGTGAACAAATTTCATTTCTTTGAGTTTCTATCTTATCTTTGTGGAATTGTAGTCTTCTCCTTTTTTCGCTGCATACATATCATATAGTTGTATTCTAGTGAAAGTATCTAGTATCTAGTATAAAATAGAAGTTGCATCATGATATAAAACATTGGACTTTTTCGATAAAAAAAACTAATATATAAGTAAAATTTAAAGTATTATTTATAGAATTATATAAGATTATTTTATGAGCAAACACTATGTTTTTTAATCTTATTTTATATAGATAGCAAGGAGTGTATCTTGTGACATAAACATCTTTTTAGATTAAAAAATGAGCACAAAATAACAGGAAATTCATATTTAAAAATTTTTAGACTCAATATAATATATAAAAAGAATAATATATGGAACACAATCTATGGCCGGTGAAGAAGGAAGACGAAAGTATAGGTTGATGCTATATTCACTATAATATTCTATTTGATTAAAATTTGTTATTACCAAAACTTTACTTTTTCCGTTCACTTTTACTTACATATCTATTAAAAAATATTTATTATCATGACTATATTATCATATTATAAATAAAGTAATAATTTATTTTGTAATAGTGGACTTAACATCAAAACTAATAAATCAATAGATTACGTTAATGCCTGCTACTTTGGAAATATAGGAAGAAGCTCCTTTGTTTGAGGGTAAAAGAATAAAAAATGAAAGAAGATCATGTCCCTTTTGTTTTTTAATTATTGTCTCTATCATAACTTTATCTATTAATTTTATCACAAAAAATAATCCTCAATGTGTGTATTGCCACTGTTCACTCGTTATGTGAACACTAATTAATAAATTCTGTCTCGAATTAAAAAAAAAATAAACTAATTGAAGAAACAAAATAAGAAAAAAATTTGAAAATTCTAGCGCACTACATTTAGATGTTTTTTGTGTGAAACAATACACAGTTAATTGCAGATTTCTGTGTTCTTTTTTTTTATTATTATTATTAATAATAAAAAGTCAATACCGAAGAAACTTGAAGGTTGAAATTGTTGTGACTATTCATAGTAAATAAGTCCTTTTTAATAAATAAATTTTCTAATGTTTTAAAATGATACGAACAATATTGAAGTATGTATGTGATGACAGTTGTAAGAGGAAAATATGAGTGTGAATTGATAAATAATTTTCCACAATTTATTCAACAACTATTTCTTATGCGGTACCCCAAATTTCGTCGAATTTTGAACTTAATAAATTGTTGCAAATAACATTTGAGATTTGTGAAGAAGAAGAAGAAGAGTAGAAAACATAAAAAATCGTAGATTAAAAGTAAGAGGAAACCCCTCTATTTATAACTAAAATATAGTAGTATGAATAGGTACCTTATCAGAAAAGTTACAATCTTTCAAAAAAATCACTGCTCATAGGAAAAGTCACAACTCATCAGAAAAGGAAAAACCCTTTGAAAAAGACACAACCATTTAAAATAATCACAACCCTTCAAAAAAAGTTGAAACTCATCGAAAATGTCACAATCCCTCAAATAAGTAACATACATTCGGAAAAGTCACTAACCCTTTAACGTCAAAAGGTATCTAATTTTGATATAATTAATTAAATAAGTAAATTAGAATAAATTGAGTATTTTTAATTGGGGTTATTATAATAATTCAACATTTAACTTTGAGAGTTCACACTTTTAAGTTAGTATTGATACAGAAGATTTGTCGTAGTGCAAAGTAACTTAAGTCTTCTAAATAGTTTCCATATTTTCTTACACAGTTAAGAAACTATCACTTAAGCCACGTAGCCAGCGTGGGTTAGGACTGACTTTCGGGTGGCTCATCACTGCCTTTGAGGATACCTTTATAGTAGATCAATAAGTTGAGTTTGTTTTATACCCCGACAAGGTATAAGACAATTTTTACAACGTGGACGAGACATTGTATCATCACGAGGCTCATAATGATGGTTGTCGGTTAGAGAAACTCCCTAGTATAGTAAAGATCAGTTTATTATGCATATATATTTAGTTCATTGAGTTATGATATTTACTTTTAGTGCGAAGCTTTAAACAATTTTATCTCATGATCATGCTTTACATTTAGTAGAGTTATATTTCAGCAGTTTAAGTTGAGTTATTGTTTCATTCATCTATTTTACATACTCGTACATTCAGTGTACTGGTGTCATTCTATCTGCATCTTTTTATGATGCATATACAACTGTTCATGATCATTAAAATACACTTCATTGAAATCACTTACCACTCTTGATAGCATTTGGTGAGAAATCCTTGCTTCCGGAGGACTCCAATCACTTTAGTTCATTCTTAGTTCGTCTAAGGTTGTCATGGGTCTTCTCCAATGCCCATCTTAAAATAGTATATATGTATCATAGTAATATAGTATTAAGAGTCTTTCAATATTGCTTTTTAGATGTTTTGTTAAAATTATTACTGCTATCATTCAGTATTTTCAGACAATTGAATTGAGTACTTTGACTTTTGTTTTAAATCCAAATATTTCTTGAGTCATTCTTCCGCTAAGAAGTCAGTCAGACCAAGGGTTAGCTTAGGGACCAACAATGATTCTGAGTGTCAGCCACATCCAGGGTGTAGGCTCAAGGGGTGACAATACTCACATCCAAACATCTGATTGGAAAATGAGATAGTATCTATGGATCCTTTTATCATGATCCAATAGCACTCCCAAGTCATAACACAGCGTCCTTTACCCCGAAGGGGTCTCATACAAGCCCTTAGCATAATCATAACACAAGATCACAGAAAATATATAATAATTTAAAACTTTAAGATATAC